AAAAAAAGTCATTAGAAGGAATTAAAATGTTATTTTCTTATCACTCAGCTTTGAAAGCAGCCCTACAGGCTTTGTTGGTTTGTTACTCTTCAGGCTGATGAAAAAAGGTTCCTCAGGTCCACCTGGCAGATCAAGTCTAAATTTTATGCTATTGTTAGAATAAGCATGTGCTTTACCTCCCTCCACATGCCTCATGCCTTAGAAATAAAGTTTCTTCAAAAGGACAAAGCTTTCTCCTGATATCTGTTGGAACCAAGTAGGAAAGCAGACATTTCTTGATCTCAGGGGGACAGCGTGAAGTAACGTATCTGCTCCACTCACCTGCTGCTCCATTGTTTGTGGATGGATGAAAGTCACAAAATCAACTGAGAAGTAACCAAGCACTCCTTTAGATTTACAGGTTTCTCCAATTTTTAAGCAGAGTGAATGAAGAACTGCTGGATCAACAGAACATTGTGGAATGGTAGTGCCAGATGATCGCAAAGGACCGTCAGCATGGAGCTGGTCTCCAGATGACACTATTTTTATCTTGCCTGTTGGCTCTATCAGCATATCCACTGTAAGGTTTGTGACATTTTCTGAGAGCGGGAAGGCTTCTATCACACCACCTAGTAAGAAATGAATTAGCCGTTAAGCTAGTAATCAAATTCACATGCGATGCTCTTCAGAGTGCACAGAATGAAACCATCCAGCTCCTATTGTGCTCAGACATTGCAGGGGGGGCTGCTATGGAGATACAGCAAGTAAATACATGTAATGTGAGCACCATAGCTAGAACTCATGAATCTCTTAGAAGAGAAAGAACATATCTCATCTACTGTAGCACCGTACAGTTCAACCAGTGGCTTTTGAGCTGCAGACTCTTTGCAGGCAGTTCCAAACCGGATATATCACATATCTGACAGGAGAAATGTGCTCTTGGGTAGTATGAATGAATCCTGGGCTGTCCCACAGCCCAGCTAAATGCCAGGCCCAGAATAGCGGTGAAATGCAATGTTGGGACCTCGGGGGAGTGGTATCTCCTGCTGTGAACTAATCGTGGAGATTCCCATCCACACGATGGTCTGAGATAAGTAGTCTGCCTTTTGGTATTCATCCATATGAGGAACTTGGAGTGTAGATGGGAAGGCTTCTAGATGACAGCTTCTAGCAAGGTTGTCATAGGAAAATCACAAAGAAAACTGGTTGGCATTCTGGATTTGCCTTTTTGTCGCATATAATGCCGTAACTCATTCAGTTAGGATAAACTAATATGTAATAAAAATTGGTAAATATATGTTAACTGGCATTATTTTTCCAAAAAATACTTTCAAAGCTTTGAATCATCCTTGTCTCTTCCACAGGTAAAGAAATGTATGAAACATATACATCCATTATATATAATACAAAATTATGGCAGGGCAGAATCACCACAGAAATTTACTACCCAACCACAAGTACTGCATCTTTTCCGTCCCAAATTTGGCATACAAATATAGGATGTTAACAGGTCTGTGCAAAGCCCACTCACAGATACACTGATTTGCAGTGATTAGACAAGGGTTTTATCCGCACTGCCTCTTATGGACAAACATGGGCTGACTTCTGAGCTCTAGGCCAGTTGGGTACTGGCCAGGTTTGATCCAAAGGTGCCATGAGTGAGTTTAATGCAGGAAGCCCTGCTGAGGACTCAGCACCACACGAACAAAACTATCCAGCTATCAGATTGGAACTTGTTCATATTCCTTTGGTTGGAGGGCAAGAAAGAGCACGGCAATGGTCTGACAAGGAGTCTGTGCCAACGTACTGTAAGGGACAATACGGCATTGCATCACTGATCCTCAGCGGCAACACCACCTGCCTGGAGGGCAAAAAACTGGGAGAAAGCTTAGCTCCTTTCCAAGCCAGTTCAAGGTTATAAGCACATATGACTTTATGCAATGTATGTATGTAGCATCCAGAGTTTACATATAGCTCCCTTCCTGGTCCCATGAGAGGGAAAAGCAAGTCTTGCAGATGTTTGCTTACCAACACCTAACAAAGATGAAATATTCTCACGTTTACCCACGTGCAAACTCACACGTTAGCATTCTCTAAAGCCCTTCTGCCAAATGCGACAGCCTCCAGTACAGTAACCCAAGACTACAGAATTGGTGCTTATTGATTCAGAATCATGTGAGAAAGGTAATCCAGGATTAATATAGGTTAAATGCTTGGATAGGACATATGAATGATAGAATAGTTGCCTATAATTCATTCGTAAATGAACATTTGAAGCATAATGGAGAAATAAAAGGAGATAAATATTTAAATGGGCCCAAGATTAACAAGAATATGGCATACAATATGGTATAATTACTCCTTATAACACTTAACAGCGACTTTGCAGTCTTATTTACCTTGACTAAGAAATGTTTGGAGGAATTTTTCCCATGTAGGGAATCGTTTCTCATTGACTGGCTGTACGTGCTGTGCTAAAAGGCCCGGCAGCTCCTGGGAGATCTTCACCAAAGCTGGCTCCTGCAGAAACAAATTAAATAGAACCACAAGCAATTTTACTACAGAAATGAAAACTGCTTGTGGGGTGATTAAAAACCAGGCCTCCAACAGGCAAAAAAAAAAAAAAAAAAAAAAATGTGGTTACTGTTTACCCACAGTCAGAAAGCCTTTTTTAATTTTTCTACTACTACTCTTCCCTCCTATTGAAAACTGTCCTTCTCTGAAAGACAATCCCCCCCCTTCAATATAGCGTCTATTTCATTATAATTTATATCAATAATTTGATCTGGCAACTGAAAATGCTAAGCACTTGCTAACTGCTTAGGGATCAATACCAGCAGTCAATAAGTTCTACATTGTTTATATTTTGAAACTAAGCGGATTGAAATAGTCACATGTGCCAGAAATAGTTTTACTGACTCTATGTTTAAGCTGTCATATCAAACCAAACACCCTTTAGTTATTTAAAAAAAAAAAGGAGGAATAATCAACAAAAAGCGTTTCTAAAGCGGGAGATATCCTTTTACACTCTCCAATCTGTAACATAAATTCACTAGTGTATTTGTGTCTCTATCTTTGGTAGAATTTGATTAGTCATACTACGGGAGATAAACTAGCTTTTTCCTAGTTTCAAATTCTTTGCTGTATTATCACACACACAAAACCACCCCATTAAAACCAGAAACTAACTGCATTGCTTTTACTGTTCAAAAATGTCCCAGAAGTACACAAGCATATAAAGTGCAAGGACCCTGACTCTATTGCTTCAGGCTCTTTTTCTTGCTGCTTCATAAGCATTTGCCTGCTTCCCCTGGGTCTCTTTGCTTCTGTTTTACATCCTCTCCCTTCAGTATCCTGTGCTTCAGAAGATGACCAACCGTCCTCGGATCTTGGCAATGTCCTAAGCCACAATCATATTATCTTGAGCTCTGGAGGAACATGATAAAACCTTATGGCTAAGATCTAAGAATAGGAAAAAAATATATATCTATTTTTCCAGTCCAGTGAGTTTGAAGAGATGGGCTTTGTCATGAAGCGCATGATGTGATGTAACCAAAAATACGAATTCAAAATCAGCTTACTGTGATTTATCTACCAGAATGAGGAGAAGGAGGATTGGCCAATGATTAGGGTATCAACTTTGCTTATAGGAGACATAGATATATCTTGTTCCTGACTGCAGTCTGCTTGTGCGACTTTGGGAAAGTGACTTTCTGTCTGTGTCTCAGCTGTCCAGCCATGAAAGGGGGACAATTGCTGTCCTTACTTCACATAGAATTGAGAAAAAAATGCCTTTAAAAATATTGAGGTGCTTAGATCATGATGCTGATCTGGGCTATGTGGGCTCCTATCATATACTAAAGAGAAAAGTATGTTGTTGACTTTAAACATCTCAGAAAAAATGATGAAAAATGGTTTTAGTCAGTATATCAATATACTAAGCAGCACAACCTTAACCTTACGGCAAAACCAAAGTGAGATCCAAGTTCAGAATTTACCCAGATTCAGGTCTTACACTGCTCGTTTCCTTACAATCTATAAGGAGGAATTTAGGTTTTTGATAGCTCAGCTGACTAAAACAACAGTGCAGTGAGCAAGTATCAGTTGGCCTTGTCTTGGTTTGTATTTGCGTTGAAATATTGCTAAGCCAAGAAGTCACAAGATTAGGTGGTTCATTGCACAGTGAAAATAAACGCAGCTTTGGAGAGAGGATCTGAGCCATGATGGATGTCATGGAGTTGCTGACCTACAAATCAGTTTGCACCTGTCAGTGCGTTCAGCGATACCTCTGTCACACTGAGTCTCACCCCTGAGATCTAATGACTTTGGGTATCGTGCAATTTAAACAGAAATATAAAAACAAACAAACAAAAGAAGAGGTATGCAATGGCTGCCTGCAAGCTTTTGATAAATTACTGGGGAAAAAACCAATAATCCCTGCTGGATGTGTAGAAGCATTTGAGAGTGCTGTGACCAAGTCTGTATAAGTGAAAATTAAACTATGAGCGTGTGAACTGGGACACAACTTTCCATTGCAACAATTCCGAGGCACATAAGGGCAGCCGCACGAACTCCCTGGAACAGTGCTGGGGATAGTTGTATCTCCTTTTAGACAGAGTTGTTTTTGAGGATCACATGTGGCTGTGGAAGAAAGCTCCCTAAACTGGGTGCAAAATCAAGCAGAACTTCCAAACTTTGAAGTGTACCGAAGGGCACACTTACCTGGCTCACAAATGGAGGCTGCTGGTAAGACACAGAGACTCCATTTCCCTCATCTATACATATAGTAACACCATATGCTACTACTCTCTGTCCATATGACGAACGTTAGACAGGCAAGACTGTTGTCGTACTTCGTCAACAGACCCAGCGTTGCTTGCTTAAATAAGGCCAAATAGCATTTGAAGGGGACTCGAACACAGGGTGAACTCAGAATGTCTGTTAGGGCAATGCGGATGCACGGTGCCCAGCTCAGGAGCATCTTGCTGTTCAAAGCACCCTCAGTACTGGCTGGCTGTGAAGGATGCGTGCATCAGAACCAGTCATCTTACAGAAAGACGACAGGGGCTTTTAAAGAAATAACTAATTCAAGAAAATCTGAAAAATGTTCTTGTGAGATCGAACCCACCGTAACAGTGCTTTTAACAAGTAATGCCTAGATAATCAAGGTGTTCACAGAAGGGATTCGGGCAACCGCTTTTTAAGGATCAGCACCTGGAATTCTAGTTGAAGTTTTTTTGCAACTGCAAGCTCTAAAAAGGCAATAATCCTGATTATAGGGAGTTTTAGTAGGCAAATTCAAGCCCGGATTCAACATTCACTCATGAAGTCAAACCTTTTAAAAGGATCAGTGCTCGGTAGGCTAATTTCATTTAAATTGGACGGTATCTCCAGCAGAGCTTACCAATGTTTTATCTCTTGATGTGGCCCAAAACAATTCAGAATCATAGGCTCAATGGAAACAGGGAACATTTGTTCAAATCTTTCAGCTGATGTTTCTTAGTACCAGTAAAAAAGGAGCAGCCCAAATACTGTTTACCTCATGTAGAAATCTTTAAATCTATCCAAATCTGTTTTGGACCTTTTTATAACAATGAATAAGCATAAAAAAAAAACCAAACCAGTTTTCCCCCCCCTAAATGTAAAATAATTTCTCACCCCTCTGCTAGCTGAATCTTGAAAGGCTTTCTTAGAATGGCAGTTGCAACAAAAAATTAGGACCGAATGTGGCATACGTTGAAGGCACAGGTAGGGAATCTACTTGAGCCAAATCAGCCAGCAAAGAAAAGCCTGTTGAGAAGATAAGTAAATAAATAGAAAGAAGAAATAGACTTAGAAATAGGAAGAAAGACCTGGGGACAGAAAAGAAGCTGCAGCGCAGAATGCATGAGAAAGACCCAGGGCTTTTTAGCTAAAAATCAGATTGAAAGGAAATTATTTAGACCTTGCAAGCAAATAGAGTGAAGAAGTAACTCCAAATAAGTAAAGCTGACTGGGCCAGAGAAGAATAAAATCAGCAGACAGATCCTCAGCAATACAAACTGCCACATCTCTGCTGAAGTCAATGAAGCTATGGCAATTTATGCCACTTCAGTGGCACTATGACAATTCATACCATTTATACAGTATATCCTTTATATTGCGATCAGTGGAGCTCTGATAACTTATTCCAGCCACCCTGACGTGAATTGGTCCAGCCTAGCTTATTCTTACATTCTCAGCAACACCAGCAAACACGGCAATATTGGAAGAGTCCAGTGATTGCTGTCTGACTGTCCAAATAACTTTCATTATTTCCTATTTTGCAAACTAAACTGATTGGACATTTTTTCTAATTCTGACAGGTACATGCTGGCCAGAACCACAATCTACCACACTGAACAACTTGAAGGTTTATGAAAATTGAAATGTTTTTGGGAAGTGATACACTGAATAGCCTATCTACTTAAAGTTTGCAACCTGATTTAAAGCCCAGGCATTTAATTGTTAACTGCAAATTTTAAAATTAAAAAGTGCCAATTTTGCCTTCCACGAGCTGGAAAAGTATGTTCTGATAGAAGGTAACATCATGTAAAACAGCTATCATTACCAAGAAACACAAATGTTTTTCGTATGTAAAATTGCTTTGTAAAATATTTGCTCCATCTGCTGAAAGTAGCAAAGACAATTTTCCCTGATAGCTAATGGCCCATTTCAGCTGTATGGCAAGCGATTCACCGTGGCTGCGACTTGCATTAAGTAGAATGGCGAAAACAGTGCACAGAATTCTCCACTTATGTAGTATTATCTACTCACTGCTTCCTGAGAGCCCGTCCCTCATTATCACGGCCTTCGCTTTGGATCAGCACACAGGACTAGGGTTGCTTTGACTCAAGAGGCTTTTTGTCAAACTGAGGCACATATGCTATGCTTCAATACAAAAGCACAAAACAGCCACTTCCCTTGACTACAAGAACAAGAAGGTTAGTTCTCTTTCAACTTTCCAGCACTTAAACTGCTGTTCCTTTTTTCACACCACATGGGGCCATGGTTTTCTCTTCTGGCTCATGCTGTCACTCTGCACGCTGAGGATTTCAATATATAAAGATCAAGCACTTCTTTTAATTCTAAATTCAACTACATACACATACAGGAAAAAAAAAAGCAAAAAACCCCACTGGACTAGTCAAAAAAACCCCTCCCAATTGCTTGTTTCATTGTATACTTTGCTACTTACCATACCCCTATTGAAAAGCGCATGTTTACATTGTGCCCTGAACTACTTCAACATCTGCTAAAGGACCAATAAAAAATAAATAAACCAGGATTATTTAGAAAGAGAGATCCTTTCTATTTCCTCTGAACACTCCTAAACTGGCAACAGCAATATGCTGCGAGATCCCTTTTCGTAGATGTCATGTCGGAAAACAATATATGTGGGAAGATCAAATACAAAATCACTACAGCCTGTGCTACCAAAAATCAGACAGAAAGAGGATCCTGAAAGCTCTACAAGCTTGTCAAATAATTCTGCATGTTTA